TATTACATATCTTAAAGAGCAAGGGAAACAAAGGAAAAAAGTAAAAAAATGGGACTCTATCAAACTAAAAATTTCGGCACAACACAAGAAACCACAAACAAAACAAAAAGACAACCAACAAAATAGGAGAATATATTTACAAACAACAGTTCTGACAAGAGTTTAATATCCAAAATGTATAAAAACCTCATACAACTCAAATAATCCAATTAAAAAACGGGCAGAGAACCTGAACAGACACTTCTCTCAAGGCCACATACAAATGGCCAACAGGTATATGTAAAGATGCTCAACTTCAATAGCTATTAGGGAAATGCAAATAAAAACTACAATGAGCCCTAGCTGGTTTGGCTCAATAGAGAGAGCATCACCCTGTGGACTGAAGGGTCCTGGCTTCAATTCCGGTCAAGGGCACCTACCTCGGATACAGGCTCAGTCCCAAGCCATGCAGGAGGCAACCTATTGATATAGCTCTCTCACATCAATGTTTGTCTCTCTCTGTCTCTCCCCCTCCCTTCCACTCTCTCTAAATATAAATGAAGAAAATATCCTTGAGTGAGGATTAACAAAAAAATACAATGAGATATTATCTCACACCTTTAGAATGGCTACTATAAACTAGTGACCCAGTGCACAGATTCATGCACGCTGAAAGGAAATTAATTAGAAAGTGGCTGGCGGGGCGAGACTGGGCAAGACGGGCCAGACATGCACTGGAGCCAACCTTCTGTGGTCCCTCCCCAGCCAGCTGCACCTGGGGTGCCATGGCTCGAAAGACGTCTGTGGAGTTAGTGGGGTCCCTCCAGCAGGTGGGGTCCCTTGGTCTGGCCTGCGGGGATTGAGCCTAAACTGGCTCTCCGACATCCCTCAAGGGGTCCCGGAGTGTGAGAGGGCACTCTGCAAAGTTGCAGTCATACAGGGTGTGGAACACAAATGCAAGTGTGCAGTAAATCAGATGCAGGGCCAACAGTGCCCCAGCAACAACATAATTCATAGCCGAAGGTGGGATCGCGTGGCCCCCACAAGAAATTGGGCTCCTTCCTGTCTGGTTTCGGGGTGCGTCACCTGAGAACCGCCACTGCTAAGTCACTGCAGCTCGGCAGCTTCTGTGTTGGCACCTGCCCCGTGGTAGTCAGTGTGTGTCATAGCGACCAGTCGAATGGTCAGACACTTAGCATATTAGCCTGTTATATATAGAGACTAGAGGCCCGGTGCATTAAATTCGTGTACGGTTAGGCTGCCAGCTGCTGGCCAAGGCCTTCCTTCCCCCGGCTGCAGGCTGCCAACAGGGACCTTCCTTCATTCCGCGCATCCCCCTGGTTGTCAGCACATGTCATAGCGAGTGGTCAAACTCCCAGTCAGTCAAACTCCAGAGGGGATGATTTGCATATTAGCCTTTTATTATATAGGATAAGACAAGTAATAACAAGTATTGGAGAGGATGTGAAAAAAAAGAAACTTGCATTCACTGCTGGTGGGAGTGTAGACGGGTATAGCCACTATAGAAAACAGTAGGGTTGTTCCTCAAAAATTAAGAATAGATTTACCATATGACCCAGAAAATTCCCTTTTGGGTAAAACTTGAAAATACAGATTCACAATGATGTGCACCCCTATGTTCATTGTAGTAATGTTTACAGTGGCCAAGACATGGAAACAACTGAACTGTCCTTTGATATATGATTGGATAAAGATGTGGTCCATATATATAATGGAATACTACTCAGATATAATAAGAAATTAAATACTACCATTTGTGACAGCACAGATGGACTTTGAGAATATCATACTAAGCAAAATAAGTCCATCAGGAAAAGTTAAAAACCATATAATGATTTCACTCATATGTGGGGTATAAAACTAAAAGCAACAAATTAACAAACAACAGACAGACAACAGTATTGTGGTTACCAGAGATAAGGAGTTTAGGAGGTAGTAAAAGTTAAAGGGGCCTAATATATGGTGATGAAAGATTATTTGACGTTAGGTGGTAAACACACCATGTAATAGACAGATCATGCATCACAGAAATGTCACTTGAAACCTATATAATTTTATTAACCAATGTCACCCCAATAAATTTAATAAAAAAGGAAAAAATATCAAGAAGGTCTTTTGTGGATTTGAACTAAAATATTAGGCATAGTTTTCCATTTCTCCCTCATTTCATGTAATATATATCTAAATTTCCTACTTGTTTTCCTTCCAATCCTTCTTAGTCCTTGTACCCTTGTCTCTTGTCATTTCTCCTTAATTTGAATGTTCAGTCTTTCATCCTTCTTTCTCTATATTTAACATTCCCCCAGAAATAGTGTGGCATTAAGGAAACTTAAGGGTATACTGCCTGTTCTCAAGTAATATGCCACCCAAAATTGATAAGTGATGACAAAATAAAATCCCAATGTTCAAGGAAAAACAAGTCATTCTCTTAAATACTGTGGGGTTTTTTTCCCTCACTTGAAGACATGCTTTGAGAGAGGAAAGGGAAGAGACAGAAACATCAATGTGAGAGAGAAACATCAATCAGTTGCCTTCCATACGCTCCCCCACCGTCGATCAGATCTGCAACCCAGGTATGAGCCCTGACTGAATCAAACTAGCAATCCTGTGGTGCATGGAACAATGCTCAACCTACTGAGCCACTATGGCCGAGCTAAATTAATTTGATTAATTACACAAATTATTTTATAATCTAGAGGCCCAGTGCATAAAATTCGTGCATGGTGTGGGGGGAGGTGCCTCAGCCCAGCCTGCACCCTCTCCAATCTGGGACCCCTATGGGACCGACTGGTAGTCGGACATCCTTCTCACAATCCAGACTGCTGGCTCCTATCTGCTCGCCTGCCTGCCTGCCTGATTGCCCCTTACCGCTTCTGCCTTCCAGCTGATCTCCCCCTAACCGCTCCCCTGCCGGCCTGATTGATGCCTAACTGCTCCCCTGCTGGCCTGATTGCCCCTAACTGCCCTCCCCTGCTGGCCCGATGGCCCCCAACTGCCTTCCCCTGCCGGCTTGATAGCCCCCAACTGCCCTCTCCTGCTGGCCATCTTGTGGCAGCCATCTTGTGATGACATCGCACGAGTATGTCACATGAGGGTTGACGCCACCTAGGCTTTTATTATATAGGATTGCAAAACATAAGTCACAGTATTCTTTGTTCAGCAACAGTATAAAACAAAACTTTTGTGTTCAGATACAAACAAAAACTTGGAGAGATACATCCACTACCACATCATATCATTTCTCCTATTCATGTTAAATATTGTTCTGATTCTCTCTCATAACTTCCAGGAGAAATTTCATACTTTTTCACTTTACAAACTAGATCTTTAATGACCTATTTTCCTCCTAGCCTCATCTCTACTAGTCTCCCATGTGCACCCTCCATGCTAGCTAATAAAAAGTAAACAGAAGGTCATGTAGCTCCCTGAATGTGGCCTCCTGTCCTACATGTGTTCATGAGTTTAATTCCATTGCCTGGAATAACCCCATCCATCTCCATTTAGCTAGTTATGCAGGTACCTCTAGATTCAATTTAAATACTTTTTTTCTCAACAGATTACATCATAAAAGAGTATTTTTAATGACTGCCTAACAGGTTCACCTATTCTCTTACTGGTTATGTTGTTTCCAATTTTTGTTGCTAATGCTAGAATGTGCATAGTTTTTCCTTCTATTTAATATTTGCCAAAGATAAAATCTCAAGATATTCAGCAAATGCAAATTCCTCATTAAGGGTTTTTCACATATGATAATATACCAAGTGAAAAATTTGACTTAAAAATTACCATCCCAATGTAAAAACTTTTAGATCAAATCAATAAAATTATATATAGACATAAATAGGCAAGCAATGCCAACAAATGAAAATATGTGCATTTGAAAGCATAACACTAAACCACAACTATATAAAGATAGATATATTGCTATAAGAATCGAAAGAGAGCCCTGACCAGTTTGGCTCAGTGGCTAGAGCGTCGGCCTGTGGACTGAAGAGTCCCAGGTTCAATTCCGGTCAAGGGCATGTACCTTGGTTGTGGGCACATCCCCAGTAGGAGGTGTGCAGGAGGCAGCTGATCGATGTTTCTCTCTCATCGATGTTTTTAACTCTCTATCCCTCTCCCTTCCTCTCTATAAAAAATCAATAAAATATATATATTTTTAAAAAAGAATCGAAAGAGAATAAAGCATGATATAGATATATTATATATATTTTTTAAGTTTGTCAAATATATGGGATTGAAAAGTGGTTTTCATAGAATATAAATCTAATTTTTAAAATTACCACAAGAATAAACAAACTTATTATGTACTAGAGGCCCGGTGCATGAAATTCATGCACTTGGGGAACGTCCCTCAGCCCAAATTGAGAGACGGCACAGACCAGGCTGAGGGACCCACCTGTGCATGATCGGCTCCTCTTTGCCAATAGCCACGTGTGGACCTAGGCCAGTGATGGCGAACCTATGAGACACGTGTCAGAGGTGACACGCGAACTCATTTTTTGGTTGATTTTTCTTTCTTAAATGGCATTTAAATATATAAAATAAATATCAAAAATATAAGTCTTTGTTTTACTATGGTTGCAAATATCAAAAAGTTTCTATATGTGACACGGCACCAGAGTTAAGTTAGGGTTTTTCAAAATGCTGGCACGCCGAGCTCAAAAGGTTCGCCATCACTGTACCAGTAAGAGCATCTGACCCCTCGTGGTCAGTGCACATCATAGCGACTGGTCGACCAGTTGACTGTCTGCCCTCTGGTGGTCAGTGCCCATCATAGTGAGCAGTTGAGCAGCCTTAGCATATTATTAGCATATTAGGCTTTTATTATATAGGATAGTTGTATATGTATATACACACATAAAACCATATATATGTGTGTGTATATATATGTGTGTGTATATATATGTATATATGTATATGTGTGTGTGTATGTATATATATGTATATGCTAGTATCAACTGGGATAATAAAATAAGTTTGCTTAAATATCTACTCACCAGGACTCCCTCCGTCTTGGTTGTTTGGGTTCCTGGGTCCTGAAAAGGGGTGAATAGGAAAGAGTAAGGATGTTTTCCAGTCTGACGGGCCTGAATGTTGGATAGTCCTTGGTATCCTAACAAAACGCAGATGATATTTTACCTAGAAGTAGCAACAGGAAACAAACTATGCTTAAAACTGAACAAACTGAAAAGCAAATATTAGAAATAAAGGACAGTTAAGAACATAAGGAAAACCATGTGATTTGAAAGAGGAGACTCATCTGATGTCAACATGATACTGAATGCCTGGAAATGGCAGTGACTCCCAACATAATATAGATGCTCCAATCACATCTACATCTGAAGTCCTCTCAATGTGCAGACAGTTCACAAAAGTAAGATATATATGTGGCCCACAAATACATGAAAAGTTTCTCAATGTCACACGTGAAATAAATGCAAATTAAAACCACAGCAATATTTTTCTTACCTACCAGGCTGGAAACATCAAAATGCTTAACCACACACTCTGTTAGCAAGATTATAGACAAAAAGGCACTTTAATTCATTGCTTTGTAGGATGCAAGATGGCACAACTGTAATGGAGAATCTTGTGATGTTTAACAAAATTACATCTGCATTTACTGTTTGATTCAGCAATCTTACTTCCAGGAACAGACTTGAAATATATATCTCCAACAATATGAAGAAAAGGTATGTACACGTTTGTTGTTAATGTTATCTGTGGTGGAAATGTATTGAAATCAATTGCTCATAAATAGGAGACTGCATAAACTATGGTATATGAACACAACAGAGAGCTATGTATCTGTTCAAGGTATAGCAGAAAATAGAAATCATACTAGATAGAAAGGGTAGGAAAATTCTAAGGTATCAGGTAGCAACAGCATCAAGCAGCCCCCAGCCCTAGGACTAAGGGAACAAAAGCAAGAGTTTATAATTACTAAAAATTATAAACTTAGAGGAGAGGTCCTGTGGGGCTGAACACCAAACTTCTGAGGAGATTGCACGAGTCAGCTGGTGCTGTCCCAGAGTGTGAGAGAAGGGCCCTCTGGGACTGGACCTACAGTTCTGAGAAGGAGCTCCAGCCACCTGGAGCTGGTCACCTTTGAGAGGGTGTGATGAGGCTGATTTTGAAAACTGTTGGACAATCTGCAAACTGTATTTGGCTGCTGCTATGGGAAGAAAGTGCTACTGCAAAAAAGAAGTGTTGCTGGGATGTCACTCATAGGAACTACAAGCAGACAGAAAGCCAACAGGAAAGATCAAATTTCTTCCCCAAGTCCTGTGCTTTAACAGTAGAGTCTTATATAGAGCTGGCTGAAAAAACAGAAGTGTAGCTACAGCATCAAAGAGCAGAGTAAAAGAATGGATTTATGGCTCAAAAAGAGACTGACTGACAAGTATACATTAAAAAAATGAGGTATACATATGTAATTTATACTACATAACATATTAATTTAAATGTATATGTCTCCATACATTCATATATAATACCTATGTAATTTATATATATCAATACATCTAATCTTTGGATGCATTGCCAAAGAAGTTGGTAATATAAGTACACTTCCACCAAAATACTTCAGCATTTACTAGAATTCAATACTTGTTTATAGTTCTTATTTGAGGTAAAATTAGATACAATAAAATGGACAAATTTTAACTGTATATCTGCTTAACTGGACATACATTTTGGCAAATACAGTTTTCATGATCCAAACCACATACAAGATAAACAAGAGCCTCCACCCCAGAAAGTCCTCTCATGCCCCTTTCCAGTCGATCCTGATCACACTCCCTCAGAGATACATTTTTTTTCTGATTTCACCATAGGGTAATATTGCCTGTAATATAATTTCATATAAATAAAACTCACAAGATTATACTCTTTTCCATAAGGCTTCTTTTATCAGAAAGAATAAGATTCATTAATGTAACTGCTTTTTTCAGTAGTTAATTCATTTTTGTCACTGAGCAATATTTCACAGTGTAAATATAACAGAGGCCATTAATTTTCTGGTTGAAAATTACCTGACTGTTCCCAATAATTATTCAGCTAATATGGATAATGCTGTTATGAACATTCTTACACATCTCTTTTGTGAATATATGTTTTCCTTCTTTAGGGTAATTCATAGGAGTGCAACTGATGAATCATATATAATAGATGTGTGTTTAGACTTATTTGAGCAAACTAATGGCAGACATATTTCAAACCTGATCATACCATTTTATAATCTCACCAACAGTGGCTTCACATCCTTAACAGTATCGTCAGACTAATTTTTGCCTTCCTGGTGGAGGGTAGAGGTGTCTCATATGGCTTAAATTTGTATTTTCCTGATGTATAATGGCATTGCATACTTTTCATGTCTTTATTAGCCATTCATATATCTGCTTTGACAAACTATTTAAATATTTTGTTTATCTTTGAAACTGGGCTGCTTGTCTCTTTATTATTGAGTTGTAGGACTTTTAAAAATATCTTGGGAGAACCAAGATGGCGGTCCTTGCTGCCTCCCACAACCACATCAAAATTACAACTAAAATACAGAACCAGCATCACTCAGAACCACCTGAAATCTGGCTGAATGGAAGTTTTACAAATAGAGAAGCAAAGGAGAAAGAACATTGAGGCTGGTAGGAGGGGCAGAGGCGCAGAAGGAGCTGGCCCAACACCCACCTGCGTCGTGTTTTTAATCAGGAGGGATATCTTCACTGCGGAGGCCGCCTATGAGATGCAGGCGGTTCCAGCCCCACAGCAGACCCCCACTCCAAGGTTACAGAGATAGGAAGAGAGGTCCCTGTAACTTTAGGCTTTAAAAACCAGCGGGGATTGTGGCTGAGTAACATTGAGGCTGCTGGAAACCCAGCAGTTCCTCTTAAAGGGCCAGCACATAGTCTTAGTCCAGTGATGGCGAACCTATGACACGCGTGTCAGAGGTGACACGTGAACTCATTTTGGGTGACACACATTGACAGAGACAAAAAGTTGCATAATTCAAATATCTGTCTCTCGCAACGGCCAGAGTTGGGCATCACTCATGTAACTCATGATCAATAATGCAATTCTAAAACCGGATGTAAACATGTACATCGGTGTTGTGTAGCAAAGATACATAGTGAAAACATCCAAGATACATTGTTCCAATATTGACATTAATATAAAAAGGTTAAGAATTGCACTATAAAGAGATTAATCTTTACTCATGACATTTTATTTTTACTCGAGTGACAAAATGCCCAATTCTGGAAACGGC